GGAGAGAGATCATTTTCAAATAGTTTTAACTGTCCGTTCAATCTCTTTGTGATTGACGTTTATAATCAAGTGATTTGTCAAACAAATGATTTTTCAAGATGAACAAATACTATCATGCCCATTATAAAAAGCTTTTATCTAGAGGAATTGGCTCACATCTTCAAATATGAGACATGAGTATAATAACCATAAAGCATTTAATCGAGACTTAACATTTCCAGTAACTATCCAGTTACCCTTTAAATTAGTCTAGTGGTGACTTCATATGGACACTGCTCTCCAAATGATTATTATAACATTAGCCTTCTGATCAATTATATTAATAAGACTTAGAAACAATCTGCTAGTTATTTGGTACTCATCAAAGTGTAATCAGAGCTTGTAAGAAGGGTGTTTATTGTCAGAGTCTTTTAAGCTTTTCTGACATATCTTATGTCAGAAACAAAGTATTGTTTCAATACTATGTAGTGAAGGACAATGAGCATAATAAGTGTAATTATAAACAAATAAATTATACAGTATAGTGCTCTGACAGACCTTTCAGGAAAGATACAAGCTATTCACTTGGAAGACACATAAAAATCATCACAAGAATGTCCCTGTTTTCTTTGTGAATATAATACATGTTCTACAAAGGCTTTTCTTCTCAGAAACTGAAATCAAAATTGTGAAGTCATATTCTTTTGCTAAAGATATAATTACTGAGGTATTGACTACATTGATATACTTGCGTGTTTTTCCTACTTTGTGCCATAACATTGTCACTGTTATCATCAGTTTCTGGATTTTAGAAAATTGTACACTAAATGCCAGATTTTGATCACCTTTGTGTGTAAAATACTAACACAACAGCAAACATCTTATAAAGCTTAAAGGCAAAGTTTTATTCAATTTGTTTTTTTAATGGGCTTTGTGTAGAATTTCAGAATTACTCCTAACAACATTGGTAGCAGTTGAGGAGTTCCTATACTTTTATTAGGATTTTAATTTTAACTGGGATAATGTTTTATGCCATGGACCTTGGAGTTGTGCAGAATCATTCTGGATGAAATCAGTAGAGTGCAGGGAAAATATAAGTATTAAACATTGTATTCATCATCATAATCATTGTGAATGTTTTTTTTTTCATTTATACATACATTATCTGTGACATTTAATTTTAAATGGAAGGGCGTAGCAAATGACTTTGTACTTTAGTCTTTTTCCAGTGGTAATGTTATTGTTGTTTCTTTTGTTTTACCAGTCTGTATTTTCCTTTTATTTAGCAATATTTTTGCAAGGGTCTTGCACATACATGCACAGTACTTTCCTGCCCAGGATAGGATCATTAATACATGCATTAGTGTCTTACTGTTTATGAATCGTATTATTTGTTGTAACTATTTTTGCTAGGATCCTCCTAGAAGCAGCAATTCAAACTGTTACCAATTTTGAATGTTTTATGTGTGGATCCACAATTGCCTTCTGTTGTGTTGTGTTGCGTCATGTTTCTGTTTGCCCTCTGTAAAGTTCGACATTTTGAAAATGTTTGTACCGTTACTGACCCCTACGTAACTGGAAACCTACCTGTCAATTGGGTCTAAAGTATTTAAACCTGGCCTCTGTGAGGTGACTAGTTAATGTGGTAGAGACCTACTTGTGAGAAGAAGGGAACTTTTTGAACTGTTCTAAGTTGGGTTTGTTATTTGCTTTGGGTGAATAAGGTGAATAAGCCATCAAGAATCACAGCTCTAATCCCAGGCATAGAGGTAATGGTGTTGAACTCCTTAACTGCCCTATCATAACAGCCATATAACTCTGCAACCCACAACTAGCAGCCCACGGAAGTTAAACAGGTGTGAGCCTGGTCAGTACCTGGCTGGGAGACCTCCTGGGAAAAACTAAGGTTGGTGCTAGATGAGATGTTAATGGGACCAGCAGGAGGCGCTCACCCTGTGGACCATGTGGGTCCTAATGCCCCTGCATAATGATGGGGACACTATACTGTAAACAGGTGCTGTCCTTTGGATGAGACTTAAAACCATAGTCCTGACTCTCTGTGGTCGTTAAAAATCCCAGGGCGTTTCTCGAAAAGAATAGGGGTGTAACCCCAGTGTCCTGGCCAAATTTTCCTTACCAATCAAGGCCTCCTAATAATCCCCATCTATGAATTGGCTTCATCACTCTGTTCTCCTCCCCACTGATGGCTGATGAGTGTTCTGGAGCACTATGGCTGCTGTCGCATCATCCAGGTGGATGCTGCACATTGGTGGTGGTGGAGGGGAGTCCCCATTACCTGTAAAGCACTTTGAGTGGAGTGTCCATAAAAGTGCTATATACGTATAAGGAATTATTGTTATTAACTGGATAAGGTGACGAACAAGGTTGTATTCATGAGTAGTGCAGTACCTCCTGGAAGTTGGGGAAAATTAGAGAAACCATATGTATGCAACCCCAACCCACTAGAAGCAGCGCTGTCCAACAAAGAGCAATTGAACTCGAGAATCCATTGTCCAGTTCATTTCAAGTTTGGAAATGTTAGGGTATGTTGCGTTATATTTAAATTATTTTTAGCAACATGTACTAGCCTTGCAGTCTTTGAAGTTTTGACTGTTAATGTGTTAAAGTCAGTAATTATATTACTGCACATGCCATGATCATCATATACTGTATTTTCATATCATAACATTATGAAGTGACAGTAGTGGTGCAGACACTGAGGATTTGGTAACATATTTTAAATCATCAAATAAATCCAAATCTACAAAAAAGATTGCTCTACCAAACATGAATCTTTGTTTTGCAAATATTATAAGCACAGAGCATGTTAAATAAGAAATCTTATTTTTAACAGTAAAAGCTGATGTTCACCTCTCTATGCTCTTTGTTTGATCAGAATCAAGCAGTTAAAATATATTTTGAGTTCTGTGGCCCCTGGCTAGCAGACCTTATAGTACCTCACTTTTTAGCATCTTAGGTAATGGTTCTTTCATGGGAATCAATTGAAAATAAAAGTTTTGTTACTCATAACAAGGAACAGAACACATTGACAATTGTCACTATAAACCACACAAGACTGAATTTTGTACCTGTCTCACTGGATAAATATTATATTTAAACCACCCAAATGACAAGATGTGTTGGTTTTAGGGTAATACTTCTTTATTAACATTAGAAAACTACTTTTACAACAGATTAAGGACAGATAAGGCAAGTGTTCTGAAAAAAAGGGGGCAAATGTTTTATTCTTGGTAATGAACTTCAGCAAGCATGTGGGTAATAAATTTGTGTTTTAAACCACAATAACCTTTAATATTACTTTTGCAAAAAGCTTGGTTAAAATATCTTACAGAAAACAAAAAATATCCGTATAACCTGTTTACATTTTGTTATCCGGTTACTTACAATTTATAAAAAATGTGAATAAAAAATAGAGTATAAGAGAGAGATATATATATGTAGCTTCCACTTTCGACTAAGTCAAAAACTTTGTATTAGTATTATTGCCAATTTGGTTCATAAATCTTGTACGTTTTGCGCTTAAGAAATGTTGCGTTTTACCTAACATTATACATAGTTGCACCTTACTCAGACCGTACTTTCGCACATGATCTGAACTTGCCGTGTATCTTGCATATACTATAAAAAATATCTATCGTTTGTACATTTGCACTGTACTATAAAATGTGAAAGTACTGTACTTGTGTCTTATATATTGTAATGTATACATGTTCCGCGCATCTGTACTGTACTGTGAACACATACTGTGACTGTGTTTTTGTGTCTCCCCATCTTTTTTATATTGTCCAATGTAATTATGTCAGTAATGTTAATGCTACTTTTGCATCTGTGTGATTTTTGTGTTGGGCAGGTTCCGAATGTGCCAACACAAATTCCTGTACCTGACACGTACTGGCGAATAAAAGTGATTCTGTTTCTGAGTTAATCGTATCATAATTAGATATTTTAAATAAAACCTATCGATTAAGGTAAAGGCTTAAATAGGTAACTCGTGAACTGAAAATGTTACGCAATGACGATTTATTTATTTAAAAAAAAATTATCATTGATGTGATTCAAAACTGTAAAGAAAAGTCATAATCAAAGATTAAAGCAAAAAAATCTCACCGAGCAGAGTGGCGCAGCGGAAGCGTGCTGGGCCCATAACCCAGAGGTCGATGGATCGAAACCATCCTCTGCTAGCTCTTTTTTTTTCCCCCACACAGAAAAATAAAAATAAATTTCGCTCTATTAACAGATGTTAGAATAAATGACATCGTCTTCTGAATTATGAATTTCGGCAGTGAATTTAATACATAAACTGACTGTGAGATTGTGCTACCTAAAACAGATAAAAACATAAATGGTAATGTTCACTTATATTTGGTGTTTGGATATATCACACCTTTTTGTGCAGTTTGATCTACAGTAGGTTATCCTACAGAAAAAGTTAAGTAGTTAAGAAAATTACCAAAATATCAAAAGTGGAGCTTTTAGCTTACATAAAATAGCAATATTTTCATATTTTAATGCAAATTACAAGAAGTGGTATAATTTCTCATTGGGGGTTTAGTAATATAATAGTAATTATATGTTTGTTTTACAACTATGGTAGTTAAGCATTAATACAAATTTCTACTATTTGTCTTTTATGTCATGAAAATGTCAAACACGGGTACTATTCAAAATGCACAAATGTAATTGCGAAAACAAGTTCTGTCTACTGTACTGAGCCGTTATCTTTTCTAAGCTTCAATTGTGTTTGTAAGCAATCAAAAACACTCATATTGCACATCAATATTTCCCCTAAATATTGATCTCTGTTGATTTTAAATGATTACACAAAAAACTCAAGATTAAACAATATATAACTTTTATTACACCTTCCTTCCTGTTTGCTTCTTTTTCGAAACAAGGTTTCTTACGTAGACAATAGGACTGCTCGGTTACACAAACTGCCGTACAGCTCACCGACAATTTTACTGTCTTCACGCGTTTATGATGAAGTCTGATGTCATCATAAAGCGCCGGAAAAGTGGTGAGAGTGGACCATGTGACAGTATGCTCTATTGCAGTTTAAACCTTGTGACTAGAAGCAAAAAAGGTATTAAGTTAATGAAACCCTGAAAACGGAGTTTGCGGTACAAAGAAGAGAGGAAATCTTGAGGGAGGAAGTCAAATTTGACCTGGCCCAAGTGACGTTCAGTGTAATATCTTTAGTAGTTTACGTCATCTGAATGTTTATTTTAAAGAGATTTCTATTCTTCAATTGTACATCTTCTGTGCTCCTTCGAATTCCTTACCCTGTTGGCAATAAAAAAACGTGCTTTTACAGTGTATGGAGTAAAAACTCTGATTTAATCCAGCCTTGGTGCCAAATCAGATCAAGTATGTCATTGAATACGGCAGCAACCGAGAGAAGGGGTTCGAAAAAAGCTAATCAACGCAAAGACATTTTGAGGCACATAAAGTCTAGAGAACAGAGGAAAAACGCGGACCTCCACGGACCTGCTACTGTTTATGTACAAGTTGTGGGAGCAGGGAGTCGAGACAATGGGGCTACGTTATACGTGTTTTCTGAGTACAACAGGTAAGAAAACTACATTTCTATCTCGAATATGAAATGAGCCTATATTGCAAATTCCACCGACTTTTATTTAACTGTGAACATCTTCATTCCTCTATAGTTCCAGGAGTTTTGCTTTTATCATACATTAAAATGTTTGCTGTTATGACTTAGCGGGTACGAACAGCGAAGGTGGGACAATCGAACATATTTTTGTTTGAAATTCTAAAACATTACCATTTGTTCATTTTTTGTAGGTATCTCTTCAACTGTGGAGAAGGAACACAGCGATTAATGCAGGAACACAAGTAGGTGCCAAATTAATTAGTCCAGGTGTAGTATTTGTCAATTAAATATTGGACTAATTTGGAACTGCTGTACTTTGCTTTTCTTGCAGGCTGAAAGCAGCCCGTTTGGACAACATTTTTCTAACAAGAATGAGTTGGCAGAATGTTGGAGGACTGGCAGGTGAGAAGCTGCTGAGAAAAGTTTACATTCACCAGCTATTACCAGGAGTCCACATGTATTTGAGACTTGTATTTCTCTGGATTCTCTGGTTTCCCCCCACAGTCCAAAGATATATTAGTATGTTAATTGGGAAGATAGGCCCCCCTGATGTGTCTGTGTGCCTTGTGATAGACTGGAATGTTGCTTTCCAGGAGAGGTTCTGGCTCTCCTTCAACCCTGAATTGGAAAAAGCAGTTAGAAAATGGGTAAATGCATAGCAAACAATTAAAAAAAGGAGAAAAAATCGTTTCCACTTTTAAATAAAAAAATAGTTGAAAATAAAAACTTCTCAGGAAAAAGTTTTAGTCCCCTTGGATTTATAGGGTTAGGGATAGGCTTTCAACTTTGAATTTGTACTTAAGTCATTTTAGGTATTGTGTGCTGAAAATCTTTATAAGACTTTGGTAATACTTTGTAAAAACTGAAATAATGTCTTTAATTTTTGAAGGGGCAATATAATACGCTATGTTTACAGAATGCTGCTTATTAATAATACTGCATTCATGTAGTTTTAAAAAAAAGTTAAATGAAAATGACATGTTGTTGTTGTCATGCTGTTTGTGTACTATTTGTTTTGGTGTGGAGGTTACTGCTGCAGCCTCACAATTCTTGGGTTTAGCGCTGGATTTTGGACTGGGGTGTGGAATTTGCCTCTTTCTCCCTAACCATTTGGGCTTTTGATTGGTGTTGTGGTTCCTTCTCACCTCCCAAAGACATGCTATTTGTTATATTGGTGTCTCTGAATTGTGTCTGTGTGCCAAGGGAAGGAGTGGTGTTCTGTCCAGGGTGTTATCTCTATTTCATGATAGGCTTCAGGTTGCTGTGGCTCTGGCCAGGATTAAGTGGATTTATGAAAATGGATAAATGGAAAAATACAAGGCTGCTCACATATCAGATGATATAAATTGTTTTATCTTGTTCCTAGCTTGTTTATTATCTCATGCAACCTTTTTCTGGAAGGATTCCAGGGAGTCAGCTTCAACCACAGTTGAAGGGAGTATTACAGGCATACACAGATTTCTGTAAAGAAAGGTCTTGTTTTCAGTCCTTTGAAATTAGTTTACTTGGGGCCTCCTGTAAAAGAGCATAGATTTACATTTGATGCACAAATGACTGTACAGTAAAATTAAATCTGTGCATTTTCTAACCACATTATCTTACACAGGGTTGCAGGTCTCCTGGCAAATAATGAGATAAAAGCAGAATAAACTTCGGACAGGATGCCAGGCCATTGCAGGGCACACTCAGACTCAGACACAAACACACAAACACACACACACACACACACACACACACTCAACCAAGGCCAGTTTTCCCAGAAGCCAGTGAACCTACCAGTATGTCTTTGGACTGTGGGAAAAAAACCAAAGCACCCGCAGACAACCCATGTAAACACGGGGAGAACATACTCCATGCAGATAGCACCCCAGGAATGAAGCCCTGGATTCAATTGCTGCAAGGAAGCAATGGAAGCCACTGCACCACCAGGCCACTCATAAACTTATTCTGTATTATTATATTTAATTGCTGGACAAATTGATTGACCTCAAAACGCACCAGCAGCAAACCCTGGAAAAAACAACAGAAAAGGGAGTGCATCTTATGATTTTATTTCTGTACTTTTATGGTTTTGAGTACAAATCACAAGTGTGCCACTGCTTTTGTGCCCTTAAACAAGATATGTTTCTCAGTAAACTCTCAGGTGTATAAACTGATAGAAATATCGGTTGCTTTGGATAAATATGTCAAAAATAACAACATTGTTTATTGAGCCTTTGTTTTTTTTGTGTGTAGGGATGATATTAACACTGAAAGATACTGGGGTCCCTCAGTGTGTGCTTTCTGGACCGCCGCAGTTGGTGAGTAAAGCTTTTCACAGTTGAGAATGTTGTAGAATTCTTACAATTAACAATTCATTCTATTTATCTGGTCAGCAATACTCTTTTTTTTCTTACAAAATATAAGTGTATGCATTATTTTGCTGTTAGTTATGAATGTTTTGCCAAGCCTGAATGTTTCTCTTTTCTCATATTACTCCAACCCTCCACTGGCAATGGACACATCTGATTGAAAACTGTAGTTCTCACTTTCCATTCTGTTCCTTGTTATCTTCTGTCTCTTCCCTCCCTGCACTCTTCTCGCCTTCCCTGCTCCTCCATCTCCATCAGACTTTGCTTTTCCTCTTCATTCTCCCTCTTTTACAGTCAGTTCACTCTCCACTTTGTTCCTGCCTGCTTTAATGAACTGCTTGGATTCTGACCACATTTTAGAACTTGCTCAAGACTCATGTTTAGATAGTTCCAATGATCTCTCAACTGCATTCCTCAAGTAAATATTAATATTCAAATTGTTCGTTCTCAAACTGATAATATGCTGCCTGACTATAAAGATGGAATATATACCAAGCGGGTGTCTACATTACTCTTACAAATCCACCCTTAGTTTGCTCTTCCACCTAGTTAGACTTAATTTTTTTGCTATCTGTATTTGCTATTTGTTATCTTACATGCTTGATTGTTGCTAGTACAGTATAATTTTCATTTATATTGTGTATCAGGCACCGTGTATCAGAATATTTGCTAAGCAAAAACTAATTTGTACTGCATGTCTCAGTTTGCAAATGTCTTAGTTATTTATACCTACTGTAGGTCTCTCACAATTAAACAAACCCTTTTTTTAAAATTTGGTACCTTTAGTTATTATGTGTAAAAAGCCCAGTTTGGGTTTTAATGCTCAGTGCTTTAATACAATCTACATATCTGATACATAGTAGTTGAAGCTCTTTGATGTGCCTTCTCTTAGAGTTCTATACCACAGTATCATAAAAGAATTGTTTTTCGCATCATTTGGCGCCATCTAGTGGAGTTGTGTTGCTACTACAAATCCTTAATGAATTATTCTCTGATATACAGCATACTTTGCTTTTGCTGACTATTTCAATTTTCATCATATTTAAGGAGAAATATGTGAATGCCATTCGTGTATTTTCTGGACCATTGGAAGAAATCAAATTAGGTACAGTGCATATTTTCTTAAACATAGAATTATGTTTTATTTATATGTTTTGTGTTTGTGTAAACCATGCTTCCTCTTTTCTGTTCCCACTGAGATTCTCTTCTCTATTCAAGACTATGAAGATTTAATGATTTTAGTCTATTAACAAAGTGCTGGAAATACTTCTGTTTGCTCGTCTCTGAACTGATTCCAGAGCTTTTTTGTTACGCCATGACCTAAATAGTATACAGTTTTCTCTCTTATTCTTTTATTTAAAATCTACTTAACTCTCTTAGAGACAAATTAAGTATATTTATGTTGGTGCAGATTTTAAGTTTTAAGTCTTCATTATGGTTTTGCAAATTATGGATTGCTAGTACAGTACATTTAAATATACATAAATAAAATTGTTCTACAATTAAACTTTTTGTATTCCCAGCTGTACGACCCTACACAGAACCAGAATACTCTGATGAAACAATGACTGTTCATCAGGTACCTATATTTGGTAAGTATGAGTCGCAAGTCATAAAATTAGTATTAAAGACATTTTTGTCTGATTTTTTTTGTTGTGTATGGTTCTGCTTGATCCACTCTACTGTTTCCTGAGGTTTTTCTGCTGTACCTAGAATTATAATAGGAATGAGTTTAATAAAATTTCTAAATTTCTAACCATTCCACATTCTCACACATTTAAAAATGTATAGCTATGTGGCATCTCAGTTCTTCTGTACTTTGTGCGGCTCTCTGTATGAAGGGGACATGTTTGACATTTGAACAAGTAAGGGTTAATTCCATGCTGAAAAGAAGAGAAAAGAAACAACATTTCAGCTGTTGAGCCTTCTTTAGGTGTGACAGATGTTTGACATGTTTTTTTAAAAACTTCCATAAAGCCAAACTAAAGCCAGACAAAAGGAAGCATTCCCCCAGTCCGGAGAGAGGCAGCCCCAGTTGCTCTTCTCCGCCACGCCCTCCGCGGGCTGAATGCTGGAAACCGGGTGGCTTGGAGGAAATCCCGACTGAGCGAATGATGGGGAGGAGTCGCAGTCCAGGTGAACTGCCCTGAGAGTCATTAGCACATGTCAGTTTATTAAAGGGGTGCAGAAATCCTAATTTCTCAGACTGGTTATTAGATCTTGGTTACAAAATAAATTGATGTTCTAGTAAAATTTGACAAATTTCAAATTAAGCACAAAATCGTGAACTTTGTGAAAGCACTCTTAAGTTGCTGTATTGTTGCAAACCCCTGGCCACTGGCGAGAGCAAGATTTCCCACGAATTGCGACATGATGCGAGTATATGATAACAAGTAAAGCCACAGAAATGTTCCAAGATCATCTACATGCAGAATTAACAAGTATGAAGTATTTATCTGCAAAATATATCTTGCAGTTGAGAAGAGTATTTCTGTTGGATTAAAAGAGATGTAGCCTAATTACATTGTAAACAAGCAGGCTTGTGAATACATTACAGAACATGGCACTGTGCATACCTGGAAATTGTCTATTTTGTGATGTGAATTGAAGGTTTTACATGGTACTGTGTAGATTTTGTTTTTATTGTAGTCAGAAATGCTCTCATCTTTCTAACTTGTTGCAGTTCCTCTTTAAAGAACAATGCTTTGAAAAGGTGTTAAGCAGTCTGTGCCTTGTTAACTGTTTGCTCAAAAGTTAAACTCTAGTGTCTTCTTCACCTAAACCTTATCCCAACTGTATTGGCATTGCAGCAGATCTGCTGAAGGTGGGGAGGATAAATACCCTGCTGCTTTTACTGTGAGTGATTTAGAAGTTTTTGAAATTGGTATTAAGTGGTTTTACTCAGTGCCTTGTGTCATGCAGGTGGAAGTCCCAAAACAACAAGAGATCCTTCTTTGGTTGTTGCTTTTGTTTGTAAGGTAAGGGTGAAAAAATCTCCAATGAAAATTAAAGATTTTGTAATCCTTAAAATTTAAATTGCTCTGCAGGGAAGATATCTTATTTGCTACCAGGTAATTGCAGGAGTCATTGCTCCTAATGACTGTTTTTCATATTTAAAAGGATTTGTCTTAATCTTTCTTAATCTTTAGTTAATATTTCTATTTGCAGCTTCATCCAAAAAAGGGGAATTTCCTGGTGTTTAAAGCCAAAGAACTTGGATTACCAGTGTAAGTGGCTTATAAGGTTTATATTTCTGCCCCTTTCTTAACTTTATCAAAGCCTAGATGTGATGTTTTTTCTACCTTCCACTTTTTTTAGAGGTACAGCAGCTATAGGCCCCATCATCGCAGCCCTTAAGGATGGGAAAAGTGTAAACTATGAAGGGAAAGAGGTACTTACAGATTTACATAAATATTATTGAAGTACTGAAGCTTTCAAACTTAATCATCTTTTGTTTTCTTGCGCATGAAAATTCTCCTGCACAGGGCTCCTCAGCAGATCAGCCAGGTTGCTGTCTCAGAGTGCAGCAGTTCACAGTTGAACTCTGTGGCCCAGACATTTCTAATTTAAACCCTGTTCTTATCACTACCTGATTGTGACTGACATTTCCCAAAGTTGTGATGCACAGTTGAATGAGTGTCACTGGGATTGGTTTGGTATTAGCAGGCCGGAGCTCTGTTGGCTTTTGGTGCAACAGTGACTCTTGTGAATTGTTGGATGCCTGTGGTGATGTAATTGAGAGATATGCCACTACTGTAGTAATGGCAGTTCTTACTATCCTGTCAGGCGCTATGGAATCTATAACATGTCAGTGGATGAATGACGCTGGTGTTATATGTGTCAGAGGACATATCTCATTCATTGCCAAGCAGTTACAGGACTCATTAGCAGAGAGCTGAGTGTTAAAATAATTCGTCAATCTAAATTGGAGGGATATACAAAAATTGCTGCATGATGTCAGTAGTTGGTTTTGAAAGAAATGAGAACTAGATGTGAATTCTATTCAGAATTTGTTATACATATTTTTAAATGTATAATTCAGTTCTGAAATGTATAATTGATTTTTTTATCTGCTTTTCTGACTCAGCTGAAAGTGAAAGAATCTCAAAATGCTTTCACTGTTGGTTTTTCACTTTTTCCTTGCTATGTAATATAGATTAAGCCTGACGAGGTGTGCACTCCTAGAGACCCTGGTCCAGTCTTCATTGTGGTAGAGTGTCCATCTGAAGAATTTATTGATCCAATCAGTACCAATCCACAACTGAACAGGTAACATCTGAGGATGTGGTTCTTCCTCTTTTTTCTGATTTTTTTTTTTACTGTTTTCCAGCATGTGCGATTCACCAAATTACAGGTGAAGTGAATATTTCAGTAAGACAAACCAGGTGCATTTGCTGGCAGTCATGTTTTCAGTGAAATTGCAAAAGAATGAAGCCTGTTTTAAGTTATGTTGGCAACTCATTTAACAAGCTGGCTCTACAGTGATGCATTTGTAAGTGCAGAGGACCGTTATTTAATCAAATATTTTATTCCCAGGGAGGTAGTTGGTTGTTTTAGTGATTTACAGTTCATGAGGCATTCTACCCTTCAGTGAGAGTCTGAACATAACATTTTAGACATGGATTTCTGTGGTGGGGATCAATATTTCAAAGATTTTTTTTAGACCATGAGGAGAAACACCAGCAAGGCTTAATATGTAAATTATTACTGAAGGTGAGTAATGTAAGGGCTTCCAAATTTATTCATACTCACAATGAAATTAGAACAATAATACATGTGTATATGAGCTTTACAGATTGACTTGCTATAAAACATTCTAGAAATAGTATATTGCAGCATTAGTAGCATTGCACAGATGAAAGTATTTTTTTCCTCGATAATTGAAGTTTACAATTCACGAGGGTCACATTTATTCACATTTAATATCATTTTGTAAATACTCTTCTGGTATGGATTTCACTGTTAAAGTGACTCCTGTAATGTGCTCTGAATGTATGCCCTTATTAGTAGGAATTTCTGACTATTCCTTCAGGCAGAATTTGCTCTAGGTCCCTCAAACCCTTTGGTTTCTGTTTGGCAACTGTTTTCTTGTGTTTTAGCCACATATATTAAATTGGATTGAGATCTGAAGATTGAGGGAAGTCAGGAACATTCATTCATTTCTATACATTTAGATATGTCTTTTGTTAAATTCAATGTTAAACTTAAGGCAGTTGTCAAGAATGTTAATTTCTGGTCAAATGTGAGCTTCTTGGGAACAAGGAAACCTGTTTTTTAGCCAAAATGTCTTGGTACTTGTTGGAGTTAATGATTCTCTGTTTTAACAGGGAATGTTGGACACATAGATGCAAAACCATACCAAAATATATTAGCCCATAGGTTCCACCACCATATTCCTTTGGGGACACAAATGTTATCTCAACATGATCTTCACCTTTTTATGCTAAATGATGATGCTGATGAGCACGTCCAAAAGCTTAGTGTTGTTTCATCTGACCTTAAGACATACTTCCAATTATACTATATAGAAGCAGTTGGCAAATTTCACCTACAGATGCCAGTTTGTGTTGGAGATCTCCAGCTGTTTCCTTTGCATTTATGGTTTCCTTCTGAATCACTTGTCTCACAGCCTGAGGTAGCAAGATATACACTTGAATCTTCCTAGATATGCTGCCACTACATCAGTTGCTTTGAATTTATTACTAATGTATGCAAAATGGTATACAGAAAATTGTATACTTTTTGTGTTTACCTTTGCAATCGTCCTCAAACTTGTGTAGGTCAATAACCATTTTCTTTCTTCAGAAAGCTTCACTATGATGGTACATGCTGCTGATGGTACATGGGAAACCTTTGGAGACAGATGTGTAGTTCTGGAGTTCTCAGTCGCACTTCCAAAGAGCAAAATGCAGATATTTTAAGAAAATATTTTTCTGAACGCAGACATTAGTTCAGAACTCATTCCATTGCATTTTTATACATATTTCATTGGTGGCTTGAATAAATCTGTAGAACATTATACACTGTATACATTTTTATACCCTTAAAATTAAAGCTGTGAAAGATGTTGTCCAGTATCAGACAAGTGTATTATAATCTGCACCTCATACATATGTTCAGAAATATAATTGTTTCCAGCCCCCCGAAGAGTTTTCTTAATATTAGTTCTAAATTAATATGAATTCTTATGAATCCATTGTGGTATTTTTCCAAAGGTGACAAGTATCATATCCCTACTTACTGTAGATATAATCACATTTTTCTTAAATGTTTTAATCAAAACTGCTGTGGGCTGATATAAATTATGGTAAAAATTAATTGGTATGAAGGAGTAATCATGTTTATTTTCAGGTATCAGTGCAATGGAACAGAAGGCTCTCCATCATTGGTAGTTCATATTACTCCAGAATCTGTTTTGGATACAGACACCTATAAGACATGGATGGAAAGGTACAGTAAGCAGAACTAGCCCATTACATTTACTGTGTAGTTTTAGTTCAAAGTGTTAGAAACTAGAGTAGCTTTATGTTTTGACAGAGACCTGGAATTTAGTAATGATAAAGGAGTTTTTTTCCTAAGTCCTTAAAGTTGAATTTTAGGAGCAGTTTCAGGTGATATGTTTAAAAATCATTAAAAAACACATTTAGGAAAAGAGTAACTTTTGTACAACTAATTGGGTAGCTGCGTCAGCATGCATAGTCTGCAAAGGAACAAGTAATAGGTTTATTCCATGCTGAAAAGAGAAGAGAGGAAACAATGTTTCGGCTGTGAAGTCTTCTTTAGGTCACTAATTATACTTGTTACTTTGGTCATATTGATATGCAAATTATATCAGCTACGGTATCTTTGCTAGTTCTAGATATGACTTTTCAGAGTTCGCCAAACAACCATGTAGTGTAAGATGTGCACCAGGGTGCAGTACAATCTAGGACACATTCCAGGAAGCATTCCAATGCACGACAGCATTATGCACTAGAGAGTGCCTTGACCACGATGCATGAAGTGTGAAGTGTGCTTTATGTTTCATTTATGCTTTATGTGTATGCTCCATTTGTATGTTTTTATTTTCCAAAATCATTGCATACTTTGTGCAGTATTCATGATGGAGTTGTTTAAGTGAGCTAACTGATTTTTAAAAATCCCTGTATATTAAAAGGGCAATACAGTATCATTATTTTTTTTTACTTCAACCAGTTATTGCAACCGATCAAACTGTAAAGAAATGCAGGTTTTCTTAAGGATTTAATTATAAAGATTGGTGAAATGTAATAAAAGCCGTGGACATGAAAGCATTTTCTGTGGGGTGTGCAGAAACTTGCAAAATATCTTTTCTTTTGTTTTGTCAGGTTTGGCCCGACAACTGAGCATCTAATTTTAAATGAACAGGTGAACACAGTTCACAACATTCGGAGCCACAAGATTCAGACTCAGCTCAATTTAATTCACCCAGAGATATTTCCAACACTAAAAAATTACACCACAAAGGTATGCTAGTGTGTGTTGCAGAACGTCATTTTGCTAAGAAGTAAAAAAATAATAATTACTAGAAATTATTACTTTGTTTTTTAGCAGTATCTCAGCATTGTTAATTTATAATGAATAAATGTTGAATATATCTTGTGAAGCACAGCATGTGACAACTATGCATGTCGTGGTTCATTGCTCTATGACACACTTTTCATGTCACTGTTAATGCTCTTGAATAATTGTGCAACCATCCACAACTTGAAAGCCATTAAATCTGTAAAATGTTTAAACCACCAATTCTGTGTCCTACTAAAGCATCTGTATTTAAGAAATACACTCGATTAGAAATACAGATTTCTCTAATTCTGAGTTTCGGAACATATGCTGTAATGATAATTGTGAAGTGTTTGCTACTGTAGTTGTGCATCTGTAAGTCATGTATTTTCAGATACAGTAAAGGCATTTCCAGTTCACAAATAGCATCCTCATAGACCTAATCTCTATCTTCTTGTTAACTGAACTATTTTTAATTCCTCATGTAAAACCAGGCACAGGTATACAGATTTATAATATTGATTATGCATTGAATACATTTTCAGGTGTGTTCTGTGTATAAAAATATAGATCGGATTTCATTGCTTTCAAGTAGTTAAATATAGATTTCAATTAAGCAAAAGTGTAGTGAAAGAGATTGTTACACCAATATCTGTTTAACATTGCCTGCTGTATAATGTTAACTGTACAGTTTATACTGGCTGGGTATTGCTTACAACTGCAAGGCTGCTTCCAAATGTTATAATTATCGAGTCAACAGTTAAAAGGGCTGTTTCACAATGGAAATATCTTTTAACTGCTCAATGATTTTTTGAAGGACAAACAAACTGTGTTACATCTCCCTAATGTCAGAGGGGAGTGTCTGCTTAAATTCCAGCTGAGACCCAAGACCGAGTGGCAAAGGTCAGTTGTTCTACTTAATACTAACATGCACACATTTGCATACTTTATCAGCACAAGATAAAATTAAGCATGTAGAGTAAAATAGAAATAGCAAAGTCATTGAAGCTTTTGGATTCATTTTTTTAATCCACATTAAGCACACAAATACATGGGCACAAATACTCTTAAAATGGCACAGATTGGATATTTAGTTTATTGGCCTAAATATTTCAGAATCGCTACATTTAAAGACTTTCAAATGACCACAGCCCCATGGTCATTACAAGAACAGTATCAGTTTCTTGTAGAAAATGTTAACCAGAATTTTTTATTTTATTTGAGCTAATTAGGTCCATTGTGATGTACAGTTGAATCAAAGGAAAGGTTTTTGAACAGATTGATATTACTTGCATTGAGATTGTACTTTTCATGTCCCCCCCCCACTCTATCCTAATATCCTCATACTGCTTTTCACTCTGTGGACATTCTACTCATTCTGCTTTCCCATTTGGCTATGGCCCTGATTGCTTCATTTAAAGACATCACAATTCTTTTTGATTCATTCAGGATTTCAAAATTGCAAGATGCTTCATAATCTTAGTTCAAATGGTTTGTATGCTTGACATACATCACAAGACACAAAGCATTATGCATTTTTTCTTTTTTTTATTACTGCATATGTTGCAATCCCAAGATTTTTTCTAATGCAAGACCTGTCTTAACGCCTTTTGTTTGGTTGTGGTAAATCATACATGTCTATCTTTGTAAGTGGTGAATTTAATCAGGTGGCTGTCTTGAATTATTTTTAATTGCACACAGCAGTATTCTCAGTGTGGACCCTCATAGATGCTGAAGATTTGATTTATTCTTGTTTTCTTCCACAGAGACGCAATTCCTTTGTGTGACTACGCAGAGTTTATTAAAGAAGCATCAGAGCTTCCTGGTTTTCTTAAAGAAGTAGAGGAATGTAAAAAATCTCTGTCCACAGATGCCTCAGATTTATCTGGTAAGAAACATTCAAAGAAACAACTCTTGATGGACAGTATTCAAATGTGGCATGAAGTTGTAATGTGCTTTTTGACAGACAAATTTATTTTTTAAAAAATTCAAAAGAATCCAGGATTCACATATAAATTTAGCATCTCAGGCAAACTCTCTCCAATGACTTAACTTTGAAATGTTTTCAAATAGATGATTGGAAGCACATTGGGAATTATTTATAATTTGAGAGTTTAATTCATAAGAATATTAAAAAATACTTTATTCATTGAAGCTAAAATTAATTGTTGTAAATGAAACAAGTTACTTAGCTTTAGAAATATTTGTATTTGTTTTTAATATCACTGTGTATAACATTAAGGTAGAAGTAATCTTGCTCTTACATTTTTAACGCTCAGTGTAAATAAACTGCATTGATAGTTCATTGACAACATAAGTAACTCAGATGTTACTGTAATGTATATTAAAAAATATACTGTTGTCAATAAGAAGTAAAATTCCCTTTTGAAGATTTTGTGGATTGCTTTTAAAATCATTGAACGATTTAAATTATTATTGTAACAACTTCAGAAGTCTGATTACAAAGTAATTTACTTGTCACTGTGCATGGCAATGCCTTTGAGAGACTGACATTTGCATTGTTACTATTGCATAGTTAAATTCAAATACAATTTCAGATGAAATTTTTCACATTTTGCACTAAAATTGTTTTATTTTTTCAACTAAGACAAAGTGATTATTTTGTAATAAGGGATTTTGAAAAAGCAGGGCTGTGATATTTTTTAAGGTTTAAGGAAGACTCAGTCTCAAACTGATTAATTTAAATACTAAGAGGTCTGATATGAAAATTAAAGTCTTAATAAATAATGCCACAAGACCATATATTTAGTACAGTGCCTTCAGGTTTGTCTTTATTGTCTTGGTACTTATTGTGGCTTATTTTCCAGGTAGAGCTGAGAGGTACCCAGAGGTAGTCTTTCTGGGCACTGGATCTGCTCTTCCTATGAAGATTAGGAATGTCAGTGCAACTCTGCTGAACATTAGGTAATTACAAAAGTGATTTGTACTCTGCTTTCCCAAAGCCAGGATTTTCATGATAGTTTTTACATTAAGAAAATTTAATTCTTTAAATTAATTTTCACAAAGCTGGATAATGCTAAGAAAAGAGCTATTAATTTATAATTTATAGGACTTTTTAGGCGCTGTCTATAAGATGAAAACTCGTTGGTTAATAATAACTGAATTTAAAAAGACTGATTCGGGTATGGGAAGTCACAAAATAAAATAGCCCTTCTTCACTTAAAGATACACATTAAAGATAATGTAGTTGCTGATTAATTCCACAATTTTCTCAAAAATCTAGTTTTTGGCTCATTAAATACATTTACCATTATTTGAAATAGATTTGCATCTACAAACATACCCAGTTCTTTGCTGATGGAAGTGATAAATACTAATTTTGAGGTTCAAGACAGCAAAGTGTCCTGTATGCATACAACCTAAAGTGTGTAGGAAAAGTTTTTATTTTGTAAAGTATTATTTTTCCTTTATGAAAAAATGATTAAATGCTCTAGGTATCACAAAAAGAGTCATGGTTCACATGGGTTCGAATCCCAGATTGTACTCTTGAGTAACATCATTCAGACTGCTCTAGTAAGCGAGCATTTGTTCTCAGTTGACTTACCTTGTAAAAGGAAAAACTAAATATGGTACTCAAGGCATATTGAAGTGAGTGACAGAAATTGTTTTTATGTGTTTGAATGTACTGTATATGTTGGTCTTATCTAGCCCTACTCAGTGTGTCCTGCTGGATTGTGGGGAAGGTACTTTTGGACAGCTGTGTCGTCACTATGGCAACAGTGTTGACGAAGTTCTGTGCAACTTATCAACGGTCTTCATTTCACACATGCATGCAGATCACCACACAGTACGTAGACCATCTTTCTCGTCAAGGATAAAGTGACTGGCTCTCTTTGAATGTGAGAGGTTTTACAGTGTTATTTTAATTCGTATTAATTGTGCAATAGAACAACTAAGAACAGTTACTGTAAATGTTTTATTATTCAAAACCTTTTAATTTCTGTTGCTTTGACTTTAACAGTATTGATATGACTCATTAAGTGAAGAAAGTAAAGGTGTGTATATGTAACAGATAATTATAATTAGGCTTTAAGTGCACAAATTAACATAGCAAAACATTTGGCTTTGTAAACTCAGTGTTTAATCTGATTTTGACAAGTTAATTTGGTTATGTTTGGCTAGTGTAGTGGGGGCTCACTCATTTAAAGCTAAGCCTGATACTTATATTAGTACAAAAGAGATGATTATTTAATCAAATGCTTGCTTTTTGTGAATATGTAATTTAAAAGCAACTTAATGCTTCACAGCTGAGCAATTTTTTAGCAAACTATATATATATAATAAATTAAGTACTCAGATGTGTTGGATTGTTAAAACGTTAAAAATAATTTCTTTAATCCTAAACCATTTAAATTAAAAGGCTGTTTTATTACAGCTGTTTTTGCTCCTCTGAAGCACAAAATGTATCAAATTCACTGAAGATTATGTAAATGTTCTGTCTTTCAGGGATTATTGAATTTGCTTTTACAGAGGGAGAGAGCTTTGGTAAGCATACCATATACCTGTCTGGTAAAAAATCCCCAGTATTTTGATAAGGGACTGGTAGAGGAGCAGATTAGGTTAGGTTGCTTTCAGAAGTGAACTGAGACAGACATAATTCTTACTTGTTTTTAAAGGGGAACTGCAATGCTATTTTTATTTTGGGGGTTTAGAAACGATCAGCATTGATGAGTCCATTTCAACCCACAATAAAATAAAAATGTAGACAGTAACAGGTAAACCATTTAGTTCACATCACATAATAGACAAATTTCCAGGTATGTGCAGTGCCATGTGCCGTTATTCAGAGCGAGGCAACAAAACATCCGGTGAAGTGATGTGGCCTTATTACATTGTAAACAAGCAGGCTTGTGAATACATCTCTTTTAATCCAATAGAAATGTTGCTCTTGACTTCAAGATGGCTTTGCAGACAAATACTGCGTACTTATTAACTCTGTATGCAGATCACTTTGGAATATATCTGCTGCACAACCTGTACTTATTTGCTCGCACATCACATTTCATGACTAGTGACTAGTGAGCAGGAAGGGCCACTTCACATCACAATTTGCTTAAATTCTCACTCTCTCCCATGGAGAATCCTGGGGTTTGCGACAAAATGGAGACCACACAGTACTTTCATACTTCGACACAGTTAATGATTTTGTGCTTAGTTCAAAATTAGGAAAATTTTGCGACATGTTTGTTAATTTGTTTTGTTACTGTGATTTAAAAGGTCTGAGAAATTGGGACTGCAGTTTCCCTTTCAATTCTAGTTTTCCTATTCTTGCTTTGTTTTCATAAGTAAGGCAGTTTTATATATCATGAATAAACTTTTATATGTTTTTCCTTTTGTGAAAATACAGCTCAATGTTTACAATCTAATCTAAAATTATATGGCCACTTAAAGTAGAACAAGGCACATACAAACTGTGTATCAACAGTAAATGTCTACAAGTATAAAATTGGTCAAAACTGAATTAATGACTAGCTTAGGCCTCAGGTCTTATTTTTGTTTTAATATATCTTGATTGTTGCATTCATATTTTTCAGGTGATAGTGCTTTTGAGTAATTTCAGTCTTTTTTTTGCCATTTTTCAGCTGTCTAATTTTTCTCTGCCTGTTGCTTCTAAACTTTATATTGCCTAAATGTGATCATTATAATAAATTGTTCAGTAGGCTTTAAGCAGTAGTTGGTTAATGCACATTTAGAAGCAAACAGCCTAAAGCCTGAATGTTTGACTGTAATTAATATTTATATAAGCAGATAAAATACAATTTTATGTAAATGGAAACCAGAATGCTGGGCCAGTTTGGAACTTTGTGGTCATTATTCTGCGTAATCTACAAGTATTATTAGGAGCATTAAAGGAAGTATATTCTTTCCCTCTGATGCATTTTTCAAAAACAATATTTAATGAGTGTTCTAAATAAACATCTTTGCTTTCTTTCAGAATTCTGTTGGTAGACCATTTACCCCCATTTATCTGGTGGCTCCCATTCAGATTATGATATGGCTCAACCAATATCACGACCACTGCCAGGAGATTCTCAGCCACATCAAGTAAGCAAAACATTTAGATACTTCAAATGAGTTTCCCTAATTCATTTTTCCCTGTTTATATCCTGCAAGTATTTCCATTTTATGCTTCATTGAATTTTTTCCTCAATGTAATTAGTCTTTAGTTGTACCACCAAAATGTGAAATGACTGGACAAATGTGAATGAAAGGATATCACATGGGGGAGTATTTCTGAATTAGGACATGATTTATGAAAGGATTTGGTTGGATGTGCAATTATCAACACCCACTAAGCTTTGAGAAATATTTTCGCAATGCATATTGGATGGAATTGTTACTTAACATGTCAAATAGTAACCTAAGCCAGGGCTTCCCAATTTTGGTTATTTCTGGCTTCTGGTTTGAATTATGTTTTGTCTGAGCTTTTAGTGAAACCCTTAATTGATAGAATGCATATGAATTATTAATAGCATATAATACTTATACCTATTGGTATTTAGCTGCATTTCATAAGTGTCTTAAAGTCTCCTAAGTTTGAGTTGAAATGGAAGAAAAAATTGTAAGGCTCCAATAAAATAAATTCATAGTTCATTTAAGTGAAAAGCTTGACTGAAACAAAAACCAGTAGGTGTGGATGTCCCCAAGATTGGGTTTGGGAGCCCTTGATATCGTAAAGTGGTGAAAATAGTTTAATAATATAATCTGCTCTCCGTGACAGTGGTGTATAATCTGAAAACAACATTGAACAAAAAGCAATTTAAAACTGTGTTAAAAATATAAGCATCGGGTATCAAAGTGCTTTTCATAAGCTCTGAAACATACAGTATCTGCTGTTTTATGATTCTTACAAGTCTAAAATGCAGTGGAAATACAAGCCTTACCTGTCTTTCCTTCAGCATTATCCCCACGCAGTTACTTGTTGAGGGAGCCGAGGTGACCAAATCCAGAACCAAGTCTTTCATTCATGCCCTGCACAAGATGTCCGATTTGGAGAAGGTATGGATACTTAAGGGAAAATACTGATTAACTGTAGTTAGAACACAATAGGACACAGAATCTGCCAATAAAACATACCTTTTTAACATCGGGTTAGGGCACAATGCAGCATTAGGAATATGCAGTTAATTGGGTAAGTTATATCATGAGAAATATAGACTGTATGTGTAGACCGACCTGCTTTGTATTACTTACCTTCACATTACCAAATGGTAGAAGGAAAATCGTTAATGGAATTGGTAATATTGAGACAGTAAACTGAACAGTTTACTGAGGTAACTGACAACCTTTGTGTTTCTTCTTTTGTGATTTTAGTTCCAGACCTGCATGGTTCATCACTGTAAGAATGCCTTTGCCTGTTCCCTCACACATCTGTCTGGGTGGCAGGTAGTCTTTTCTGGGGACACAATGCCATGTGAAGACCTGGTGCAAATGGGTTTGTATTTCAGCCTCTGTTGTGTATGTGTATCTAGACAAAAAAACATGTAAAGTTGCACTTACATGCAAATACTTTTTTAACCATTATATAATTTTTCTTTTTTATTAAAAATAAGAAATCTTTGATTTATGTTAAACAAGATCACCCAACACCTTGCATAATCATTCTAATAAGAAATGAACTCTCTGAAATTCACTTTAAATTAGTGGCTTTGTTTCAGGCAGCATATTGAACCATGCAGAATATAATATAAAGTGATGTTTCACACTGATCAAAAACTTTGCTAGTATTAATTACAATCTTGTGTATAATCTTAATCTGGAACACTTGGAATACTCTGAAATTTAATTAAATTCATATCGTGCTTTCTGTAGGTTCATTTTCATAAATGTATATTTTTTAAAACATTGTCAAATTCCAAACTATTTTTGAATTATATATGTCTTTCTGCCAAATAACTACAACTTTTTGAGTGGAAATACATTCTCAATCTTTTTGCTTTTTTGAGATCTTTCTGTAATGCAAAAAAACAATCATAAGCCTTAAATATTAATTTAAAAGAATCTATAAGCAAATCTATAAACAATTCCGTACGTTTTACGCAAATCAGTTTTTTATTTTAAAAACTGGTTAAAGAACATGTATTCTAAGATGTAAAAATTAAATCTCTTTACGTGAGTTGTAAACCATACGATTTTGTGCTAAGACTTTATCCACCTTTTCCAGTCTTGCTATTTAGTGTTTCATCAGTCATTCCTTCCTGTCTGAAAATCCTAAATCCTGCTAATCTTTGTTGACAGATGAAGCTTCACTGGTTTTATTTTTTAATTGTCTTCCACTGTTGGATAAACCTGAAGAATTTAATTTCAGTTCATTATGTCTGCTGGCAATTAAGGTCTGGTTAATCCTTACTATAAGCACGGCAATGTAAACAGACTGCTTTTGCTGACTAGCCTGCTTTGTCATTATATGAGGGGGATGAGGCAAAAACTGTTTCTGCAAAAAAGTTGCACTTTTAGAGGGGAGTTGCATCAGTTGTTAGCCACGGTGTCTGTAAAACCTTGGTCTTATTGTTGTATTTCAAAGGAAAGAATGCTACTTTACTTATTCATGAAGCTACACTAGAGGATGGAATGGAAGATGAGGCTGTTGAAAAGAGACACAGGTAAGTAATGTCTACAAAGGTGAAGAAGCTGAAAGTGGACATTTTGAATACTGTACAGATGTAAAATTCTAAAAATATCTGACTTTGTTTCTGTAGCAGTAATTCAAGATGAAGATATTAAAAATGTGGCATTACTTTAGCATGCAGCATTACACTTATTGGACTAATCAAGAAGATTTCTAGTTTGTATTAAAAAACAGTTTTTTAATGTAGTATTAGTTTACTGTAATTATTCCATTGATTCTCTTTCTGCATGTACAGTATTGACATTATTGGCAGACAGAAAAAAGTGGGTTAGTAATGCCAATGATGCATTATAACTAACTGTGTAAAAGTGAAATGTGAACTAATATATATTATGCTGCTACATTATCGTGTCATTGGTTGTCAGGTGACCTATTAGAAAATACCAAACTGATATTGGTATATCAGACTTGTATAAGGGAACACCTACAGACAGAATGCCAAGCAGCGACGTTTTTATAGGGTGACCTCGGGAAAACTAAAATACACAGCCATAAGGCAATAAGTGTTTTATTTGTACAATGTGTAACTCCAAAGATCACAAAAATGCATGTCTCTTTCTGAGCTCTTGCTAAACTACTTCAGTGGTGCTCTGTAATTCTAGTAGGTAGCTGTGTCAGCATGCGTCATCTGCAAAGGAACAGGTAAAGGTTTATTCCATGCTAAAAGGAAAAGAGACTCAACGTTTCTTTTGAAAATCTCTTGAATTTTGGTTGCATAACAAACCCAGACTGTGTAGTGTTATATTTTCATAGTCATGTGTTTTCAGAGTTTCAACTGTTCTAACTATAGAAGCAAAACATTTGTTTTACAGTACTACCTCACAAGCTATTGGGATTGGAATGAAAATGAATGCAGAGTTCATCATGCTGAACCACTTCAGTCAGAGATATGCAAAAATCCCCCTCTTTAGTTCAGATTTCAATGAAAAGGTTGGAATATCTTTTGATCACATGAAGGTGAGTATAGGTTTATAGTGGGGTGATGGCTGTATTGCTGAATCAATGTAGCTGTTTCTCACAGATAACTGTTAATTGAATCTGTATACAAACAGGGATATGTTTTTTTTTAAGTGTAATTGTCATCATTGATCTCATTACAAGCTAAAAACAGGACAGTGAACTTTGTATTCATTGCTGAAGGTGGTTATATATGAGCATGAGAATGACATTTTACAATTTTAAACCTTTACAAGAAGAAGAAAAGATGTGAGTGTGTCTACGTCTGTGTGTGCCCTGTGATGGACTCGCAACCAGTCCAGGGTGTATCCCGCCTTGCACCCTTTCCTTGCTGGGATAGGTTCATGAAGGTGGATAGGTGGATGAAGTAGTTTCAAATTGGATGCATGGCATTCATGTTTAAAAATAATTTTAGTAATATTTTTAATATTATTATCTATATTTGTATTAGATCTTTTAAGAAGGATAATTTGCTTTTAATAAAATAGCACTTTCCCATATTAAATATTAATTTCATGTGCTGTGTGTTCACCGAAAAAAATCACTATTCATTATCTGAAATGTATAGAACAATTCTGCAACTTGTCACTTAGTATTTGGAAAAAATAACAATTCTTTTATTATCTTTAAACAATGTTTACGTCTATTTCGATACTCCCAATAATTTACTGGAGATGTAAACATTAAAAAAAAATGTTGTGCCTTCAAAAACATTCTTTTTGAAACCTAGATTATTTCCTGTGGAATGTGTAGTACTGATCTTCAGTATCTATTTGTTTCTGTTAAAATACATTTGTACAGCTGTAAGAAACAATCCATGTGACACAATCTTGCTCAAGGGTACAATATTAGTGTCCCAACAGGGATTAGAAACCACAACCTTCATGTTGCAAGTTTATAACACTAACTATTAATACATTGTGCAGCAGATTGAGGTCTCTGGCATAAGATAGGAAGTGCAAGTAAAGAATATAGAGTGCACGAACTGAAAGTTTCTAGATCACAAAACTTTATAATAAAAAAACATAAGTTCTATTACCTGCATAATTGGATGACACTGACTTTTTAAAACGTCAAAAATAAAGTCCAACAATAGCCAGAAAATTATTAGGGCATTCAGTGTTATAACTGTCACATTCTCATCTTGCAAGAAAGCATTCCTACACTCTGCTTGTGTGAAATGGTTGTGTCCTTCTGGAATGTTGTCTCATCTACACTTGTTCCCACTGGAAAGGCAGCAAGTGAGGTCCCAGGATCTGATCAAAGCAATACCATGCAGTCTGGTTGCAATCAATCATTACAGGTGGAGTTCAGTAACAACTACTGTAGAAGCTCTTGCCCAGACAGTCGTGTTACCACTTCCTCATGGATTTTGATACAAAATAGTGTCTTATTCTGCATGTCTGGGTCTCCCTCATTAATATTCATCACTGTGGAATACATGAAACCTTCAGTGCTGTTTCCTTCATTTCTTCATTAACATTCACTAACTTAAATCACCTTATTTGCACCCAATCAACTCTCTGTTAAGGTGATTGAGGGCGTATACAAAAAAGTCATTCAAGTGCGTTGTGATCAGTCATGACCGGTCAATTAATAAAATTGGTGCCAAAACATTTAACAGTACAGTACCTATAATCTTAGCAAAAACCATGATCTTGTATCATTATGACTTGATGTAATGATCTAATTGCAGTATAATAATCATTGTGTCCATTTTAGATACGATTTGGTGACTTTGGAGCCATACCGAGACTTGTGCCACCGTTGAAAGCACTCTTTGCAGAGGAGATTGAGGAAATGGTAGAAAGACGGGGAAAACGGGAACTGAAACAGATGAAAGAAGCCAGTTTGGAGTGTCTGCACTCTGGCCAGCTTAACGTCGAAGAGATGGGGGGTCTTGCAGTATCAGGAGAGACAAGCAAAAGAGCACAGAGCTCCCCCGTGGGTGGCAGTAAACGAGAGCCAGAAGAGGAAAGGCAGGACGTGGGAAGCAAAAGACTGAAAGCTAGCTAAGAAGACAAGGAAAGGTGTTCAGTTTATTTAAAAAGAAAAATGTAAGCTACTATAATTAAGAATTTAATTTTTTAATATCGGATATTTGTGAGCTTGAAGTTCCAAGAACATTTACACATGAAATGATGCTGTATAACTAATAGTAGCAAAAGCTTTGATTTTGTGAAAGTGCTTTTATTGCCGTTAATAAAGTTAATTTATTTTGCCATCTTACTTTTTGTTTAAATCCTCTCCTTTTCTAGTTAAAACCATTTTTTAAAACAGTTTAAAAAAAACTGACATTTATTTAAAGACGAGCAGCATGGCAAGAAAGATTTAACTCTAAATGTAGCTTACATTGCAAATAATGGACTGTATGAATGTGTAAATTATTCAGCAAGATCTTTACAAGAAATGTTTTTGGAGTTAAAAAGTTATTGAGGTGTTAAGCTTGTATATTATGTTAAGAGATGTCAAGACTTCATTTTCACACTGTGTCAACAAAACACTGTTAATGTCTTATGGAAATAAAAATGGGCAAAAAGAAATACACAAAGCTCAACCACGGGTGTCCTAATTTGGTTTGAATACATCTCTACTGCAGATTCATGTGTTGATTTCTGTGGGAACCATGTTTTCAATGTAAGCTTGGATATTAAGAGAGAAAGATTACAAATGAGAGGAGGTCATTTGCCCTATTTTGCTCATTTGGCTGCTAGAGATTTATTTATCAAAGGATCTTTTCCAGCCTCATTTTTTTCAGTATCCCATGCAATCTGATTCAACAGCATGGATGGCAGTTCTACACCACATCAACCATTTATTAAGAAGTGTTTGCATTTCTAGCCTTAAATCCTCTTCTTAGCTTCTTCTTTTGTCATTCAATCTTCGTTTCAGGAAAGGTCCTGAAGTATTCATTTGTGTTGACTATGCTTGTGAAGATTTTAAATACTTTAAGTCCCTTCTTAGTTTCTGTTCAAGACTGAATGGATTCAGTTCCTTTGACAGTCTGTATATGATATTCAGGTTCAGGAATTAAGCTTGTTGCCTTTCTTTGAACACATTTCAGAGAAGCAATATTCCTTTTTTTTCTTGACTTTTCTCAGCTTAATGTGTTGAAAATTAAGGTGAACGTAGACTACTCAGTTCATTGAAATCTCTAGGAACATTACAAGCAAAACAGTATCACTGACGACTAGCAGTGCTTCATTTTTGCTTAATTTCTATGTAGAAGCCCTTGGAAGTGTGTGTGTTAATGATGAAAATGAAAAATCTGTTTACTACCAGAGTATTGTCAGCAGCTGGTACAGGATTTTTCATTTTTATCTTCAAGTTTGTGGGATAATATTATCTCCAATTGCTATTGAAGTCACATCACCATCCTTATCTACCCCCTGTAGTGCCTGTCATATTCTGCTTCCTCAATTCATATTTAATACCTCATTAAATATATTTTGATTTTCATTTTAATGTTATTAAAATTAATCTGCACATAACTACTTGATTTCTAATTTCCAGAACTGGCATCTTATCTTAAGAGTTCACTTTAGGTTTATTCATTATTATTGATGTTCTAAAAAGACAAAGTCGCAATATTGTATATGATGTGTACAGACTATAAGAGCGCAGCAGAAGAATGCGTCATACAAAGCATAACGCTTCACGTTTCTGAGATCATGATTGTCAGAACGCTTCAGCAAGCTACTTGCCCTGGCAAAGGGGGTTTATTTTAAACACATTTTATTATCGGTCTCTACCATACTCTGCACGGGGAAATCAAGAGTGGTGAAGAATTTCATCACTGTGAGAAAAGCAGTTTCGCCACAATTCCATCTGCATGTTTTTCACTAAAATGTGATGTCATTTTCGATAAATCGAGATTAAAAGGCTCTTTTTACCATCAAAAGTGCAAAAATGCTTCCAAAGTATTCAATTTAAAGCTTTTCTTTGTGACGCTAGAGATGTAGTTTGCCCATGCATTTTTGACATTTAAACATTTAAGGCACAAAGTCGAATAGTTAACTTTTGTCTTCCTCAAGTGAAACAAAACTTGCAATCAGTTACTAAGGAGTGTATCCACAACCACCTGAAGAGAAAAACTTTCAGAGCCAAGAGAGCGTGTTTGTCTCTAAAGCAACAGCAACTTCATTAATGCAAACAGTCTGTTACTATGGGAGCAGAGTAAGAATCATTAAACTGAGGACCTGAAGTAGCGCCGGTGTTCACTCCTCCGCAATCTCTGTTTAGGTTACGAGGGAAAGTTAAAATGGGGGATACACCTGCTATAGATAAAAGATATGACTTTCTTGAAGAATATGTATTAAAAACATTGAAACTGAAGGCCGATCGTTGGCAAAAATGTGTAGGAACCGAAGAGTACAAACAAATAATTCGGGAGTTTTTAGATAGGACTGATCAAACTGTATTAGTTGTTTCTTTAAACGCAGCAGGGCAATTGATTCCCACAACTGAATTTCCAGCAAGCACTAAAAATAAAGCCGTTTACTTTGTGAAACGCTCCAAAGACCTTCTTACTCCAGAATCTATTAAAAATAGTTTATTATATGGAGATTTGTCGTATTCCCCACTGGATCAGTTTTCTGCGCTCGTGGAAGAGGTAAGATGACATAAAAGAACCTATCAGCTATTTGTTTTTCTACTGCGGAGTTTTGCAGCGGTAATGGTGACGTTACATTTTGTTGGTTTTGCAAAGTTGTGTATGGCATTTCTGGTTTAATACGCTTTGGTAGATATTGCAAACTAGATTTCCAGACCTTTAATGGCTGAGTTGCATAACAAATACACGACGAGGCTGAACAACACATTCACAATTAAAGAAGACATGTTTAAGATATCTGGTTAATTAAGTAAAATAGGGAGAGAACACCTAGGCTGTTAGAAGTGATTGCAGCCGTAAAACCTAAAACAAGAATTATAGGAAGGTTTCTTAATGGAAGAAACACATTTTTCCTGCGAAGGATGTTAAATAAGAGACTAAACTATTTCAATAATATCACGATTTTCTTAGCTTTGTGTTCCCAACACTTGTTCATGTTAACGGCTTAACAGTACTGGGCCTTGCTCAGCCGTCTGCAGCTCATGGATTAGCACAGGTGTCTGTTTATAGTAAAAGTACATGTGACCTTTCCCAATGATATATTTAATCTGTCAAATTCATTTTAAAAACTAATATCATGACCTGACACAGTGCTGTCTTGTACTATTTGAATGCATTTTCAATTGCCCTGTAAAGCACACTTTAGAGCCTTTTATACTAGAGTTACTCAGGTATTAAACCCTAAACTTCACAGTGTACCTTAATGTTGGTTTAATGAAAACTGCCATCGCGGAACGGTCTTTATTGAGCCAGATAGAAGGCTCCACAGCCGAAATGTTGTGTTTTCTTTCTTCTCTTTTCAGCATGTTATAAACCTATTATTTGTTTATACATGCTGACTTGTTCAGTAAAGCAGTGTAAATGGAACGTAAAAATGGCCACACTGTACAGTATATAGACTGTATATAGACTGTGGTCTTTTCAGTTTAAATGTTTTTATAACTAAAACCTACTGTTTTTTTTTTCCATTAGTCGATAAAACTTTAAGGTTCTTTAACTAATCAGCTGCTTGATTTGCACTACTGAGTTTTGCAGTGGTAATAGTTGGTTAAGGTAAGAAACAAATTATTCAACCTGTTCATGTTGAACTAAAAAATAACTTGAGTTACTGAGTCCAAATTAAAGCCCAAGCTTACAAAAATAATTTGTTTCACATGTGCCTTGCTGTTAAAGACTTAGAATTTTGATTCATAGCACCTCAATTATTTGATTTCCACTCACACCGTTTTTATTATAGCTGAATAATAGAAGTTGGCGTTGCTGCATATTTTATATTAAAAGATATCCTGTTAGCTTTCATCTGTCACTTTTCTAATTGTAATGATATTTCAAATTTATAATGAGGTATAATTATATTATGTAAGTTTACGTTTTGATAAACAAAATCCAAGTACACCACAAAATGTCGTAACGAGTTACTGATTATTTTGAAAATATTTATGTCAAATGAAAAACTTTATGAATATATTTTTGTGTCCTCTGATATTGTGTGGTACAAATGTATCAAGACTAGTGAAATTCTGTAGAATGATTGCTCTCAGGAGACTCGTTGGTTGTGGGTGCTTCAAGATTAATAATAAAGGTTAAAATTGATGCCTGAATCTGCCAGTGTGTGTGAAAGAAAATTGAATAATCTAGCCTTTTAATGTTCATTGTACATTCACCTGGATCACAGTCATTTGGTAAAAATATGAAAACTGAATATAAAAACCTAGCCTCTGTTTGCTACTATAAGCAAAATAGCTTCTGTGTATTACAAAGAAATCTCTTAAATTTGAAATGGATTGCCCAAAAGTCAGTTTCATAAAACATTACAAGAAGTCTGAAATGTCATGTTTTATGAAAAGTCATGAGATTGAGAAGTCATGAGGCTGACAAATGACAAATGGTGAATATAGCTTTATTTTTTATGGCAATATTTTAATAGGTGGTAGTTCCTGTCCTGTCAAATAATAGAAACCATCATGACTGGCCACATGTAGTATCGCAGGATATTAAGCGACACATACATGCCCTGAAGAACAATGTCTTTGTCGTGGCTGGACAAGTCCGAGGAAAGACGTTACTTCCTCTTCCAGCTGGATCGGAGAAAGTAGAGCACGCTGCCTATGAGAGAGAGAAAAGGTAACGAACAATGGTTTGATTCAGATTACTGAAGTCTTGATTAGGTAGCTCTTCCATTTTGACACCACAATAATGTGCACCTGGCATGGTCTCATATGAAAGTGCTTTGTTATTAATCAGCTAGTGTCTTATCAGCCACACTTGCAGATGACTGTTGAGCGAAGCTCCATGCTGCTTGAAGTGAAGTGAATGCATGATTGCACAGCAGAGAAAAGAATCTTTCATCTGAAGCTGTCAGATTTTTTTGTCTTTATACAATCAAGTGCTATATTTTGGTTTAATTAATTCTTCATCCTAGCCAACTGTCGACGCAGTTTAACTTTCTAGAACTTAAAATGAAGTTATTGGTAATGGAGAAATCAACAGGGGCTTTTTTGAAAATGTAATGACTTTTTGGTACTCTTGATTGTTGAGTAGCATATAGTACGTAAACAGTAACACCTTTCTTGTGTGTTTTAGTCATGTTTTTCTCCTTGGCCAATATGAACAGTGACTATGAACTATGAAATATTGTCACAGACATTGTCCCATCAAAGCTGTCTTCTGAATATGCAAACAACCATCAGTTGTTGTTGTCTAAGGATTATTATTAGTGTTTAGTATTTGCAACAGACAGAGTTTCATTAAACAGAGATTTTCTGTGATTTTATGCTGTCTGCAAATATGTGTCTTGCAGGACAAAATATGACCTCTTAATCCAAATGGTATTATGCAGCATGTAATGTTCCTGACTTTAAGTGTTGATTTACTGTAGATAGAATGTTAACATTCTCTCTACAGAGTTTTCAGATAACCATATTTTTTTCCAATGTAAATTGTGCAGTGGAGATTTGGCCGACAAAAGTATTGTACACTCCATTGAGTCCATAGTGATAGAATGGAGCCATCAGATCCGGGAAGTTTTGAAGAAGGATTCGTCAGAACCACTCTTAGAGGGCAAAAACCCAACACCGCATATAGAAATGCAGTTCTGGAAAAACAGGTAAATTACCAATACATTATTTCACATCATGTCGTCATGTCCCGTCGCCCTGCTTCTGTCAGTTTTAGGTTTCTTTGCATTTAAGCCCTTGAAGACTTCATTGGATCCATCATTGCCTCATTTGTCTAAATTACATAACATCTATTAAGTGTTATCAGTCCTACAGTGCTTAGCTGCTAAAGTAGCATCCTCTATGAACTAATATTTACTTTGAATCCTTAAACTATTGTGATTTATTATTTGAGTGTTTTTCTTGTTGTAACTTTAGCTTTATTGCATCACAGTACTTGTAACAGTGATTTTCTTACTACCAACTATGAAAATGATACTTTTTAAATTTATGTGATAGATGCCAATCACCATGCATCCTGGAGTCTGCAAAATAAAGATGACCTTTTTTTTCATCTGTACTGTAGCTATTGCGAATTGTATTGTTTACCATGAATGGATTTAGATGATATTCCTAGCCCAAGGAAACTTTCATAAAAAATAAGGGTAAAATGGAGTGATGTAATCAAAATGGTTTCAGCTTGATACAGTAGGAGAAGCAAAATATGGTGCACAAATTAGAATAAATACAGTATCTGTTGTAAGGCAACACTGGGGCTCAGTAGTTTGTATTGCTGGATTCCATTCCTCAGGTTTCTTCCCACTATCCGAAGACAAACTGGTAGGTTCATTTGCTTAATTGGGAAAGTTTACCCTCATGTGTGTTTGTTGGTGTCTGTGTGTACGCTGGCAAGCTGTCCAGAGTGTATCCTGCCTTGTGCATGTTGCTTGCTGGGATAGGCTCTGGCTCCACCCTGACCTTGTACTAGAAAAGCAGTTAGAAAATGGATGAGTGGAAGTATCTGTTGTTGCTGTCTGAAGAACTGGTTTGTGAGAAGGTACCACAAGGTGTTGAAGATTGTTTAGTACTGATACTTCTTGATACCTGGTTGTAACACAGGGGGTGCAGTGGCTATGAGAGGCAGGAGAGTGAAGAGAATGAGAAAGTAGCAGAGAGACCAAGTGGGAGTATAAGGGGACAGGAGGAACTGGAGACTATAGAAAGCTGATTAGTAAAGAGAGTGGTAGGTAAGACCAAGGATCTTAAATTGGATGTTAACAGATATAGGTAGCCATTGAATTGTGTGATTAAGATAAGTGATGTACAGTATACACATTTACAAAACACAGGGGCTTTTTTGAGGAGGAGGTGGTTTGTTGATGCAATCAGGCTAGCTGGGAGAAAATTGCATCTTATCTTTACAATTTGAAAGGCTGTGACAAGACATTATTCACATGCTCTAGAGCTCTGTGAGAAATGTGCTCTATGATATGTCCTAATAACACTGATAATATGTGTCCTCCTGCACCGCTTTCTTATCTCAACTAAATACGTTGGATAAGTAAATCCAAACAGAACTTAGCAGTATTGTCTTCTTAGTTCGCTGTTTTCATATTTACAAATGTTTTCCTTTTTCTTTATTTTAGATATACTAATTTGGAGTGCATTTATGACCAACTAAAGTCTGCAAAGGTTGCTAAAATGGCAGAGCTACTGGAAATAATGGAAAGCAGTTATTACCCAGCATTCCTTGACATGCTCAAGGATGTTTTAGCAGGTGATTTTTGTGTTGTGGTACGCAAATCCTGTCTAGATGTGTGGGGTATTTTCCTTCTAGAAATACACTTCTGAAAGTCTTTGCAAATTAATGAAAATAAGCCTGTCAAAGGTTTTGTTAGTGACTGAAAGACACATTTTTGTACTTTTTCATAGATTTATTAGTTTCTATGACATCCTAAAGCCATTGGTCCACCACATAGCAAAATAGCAAAATAATTAAACTGAGGTATTTTAAGCAACTGTTCATTAATCATTAATTATCTGTGCTATCTTGTTTATTAAAATGCATTAAAATCCAATTTATACAGCAATGTAGACTTTAAAATAGAGAATCTGGATTTCAAGGTGAAAAGCTGTGCAAATGCATGTGAAGCATGTTTAAATTATATAAGCATTCCATCCTTCAGGTTGGTGCTTTTAAATAATGACATTGACCAGTTTTCCTGTTCTGCTGTGTACTCATTCCAGCTCTAGCTGAGGCCAGAGACATCAATATTCACCTGAAGCCTCTTCAGCGTTACTTTGAGGATCTGGAGAATGTGGAGTTTAATGAGGCCAAGGCCCAGATCAATCCCTTGATGCACGTTGTTTGTCTTCTGTGGGCAAACTCAAAACACTACAACAATCCAGGAAGAGTTATAGTACTGCTACAGGAGATCTGTAACTTGCTTATCCAACAGGTAAGACTTCAGCTTTTTAAAAACAACCGTAAAATATCTCCAGAACATATTAGTTGTATGATTCAGATAATTCAGTTCATTGCCTATATGTAATTTGGAGGCTTGAGTTTTTTTTGTATTTTCTAATGCAGTACTTTCTTATTACACCCACAAAGACAATTAACTCATTTAAGCGAAAATTACTAACCTTTCTTTATTGTGGGTGGTAAATGTAATTCAAAGGAAATGCTTCTTGTTTGAATAATTTAAAACAACTACGGCCTGTTTTCATGGTCATTAACTCTAAACTTACTTCATTCTCATTAGTTATTTTTAGAGACTCCCAAAAATAAGCACCACAGTTGCTCAGTATGCACCTGAGATATACAAAATGGATTTTAATTTAAAAAGAGGCTGTTGTAGAACCCCTATTGAACAGAGTGGTTGCTATACAACAATGGATTGTGGAGATTACAAGTATGGTATTTAATCTTAACAATGCCAGTATAGTGCTCTGAATAACATTCATAGGTTCTTTAATTAGGTTAGAACAGTTTGATTAACAAAAACAATCTAAAGGAAATCAAAATGCAACATATAGTCATTTAAAAATGGCAAATTCTAGAAGATGTTTGGCACCGTAGACAATTAGCATTTTCGCCAAGTTTAAACTGAAATTGTATTCCAATATAGATATTCCTAGCCTGAACAAAGTGTTAGCCCCTTTTCTAGCTGGAGAAACCTCCAGCTTGATTTACCACAGTTGTAATTATTGCAATAAAGAAAGGAGGACAGATGAAGTTAATAGGTTAATCTCACCTCTTGCTCACTTTCCTAATCACTGCAACATTTTCATACAAAAACATACATTTATACAAAACACACAACAAACAAAGAGCAACCACCATGTGATCAAATAAGTGATAAACTACAGATACACTAACAATATGGATGGTGCAGATTAAATGCATGCAAAATAAAAAGAGAAGATGCTGCCATCTTCCCCTGCCTAGGAGCAGAGTTCTGTAATGGTTTATAGATCAAGAGAATCATTTGAATGGCTTTATTGTTATGCCCATAACCATTTTCCAAAGAATCTAGCTTTAGAAACCTCAGTTCTTCAAATTTAGTTGGCAAGTAGTGACCAGACTCTTTATGTTTTGGAAAACCTGGGACCAAAATACATGTTAATTTATTGCACAAAGTAAATATAGAATCTATGCTTATTTTTTGTATGCAAAATGAAATGAAAGTACATTGAATCAAGAATGATAATAAATTTAGGCAAAAGATTAGTACAATAAAATCTTTCTCAATTAAACATTACACATACTGTATCTTTGGATTCAGTATCAATATATTTTGGTTTACTTCTTTATATATTTCCTTTTCCTTGTTTTGCCAGGCTCGTGCCTACCTGGGACCAGAAGAAATTTTGAAAGGTGAGACAGAAGAGAGTTTGAACAAAGTGCATGAGGCTCTGGAAGTCTTGCACCTCTTCAGGAAGACGTACGAGGAAAAGAAGGCAACTTTGAGCACGTACCAGAGGAATGGCCAGGAACTGAAAGGCTGGGACTTCTCCTCTGCCATGGTTTTCTCTGGAATGGACTGCTTCGTTCATCGGGTGGAGACGATAAAGGCAAGTGCAATAGGTATTTTTTTTCTTGGAATATATTAAAATATTCCTGTTCTTTATTTTTAAAATTTTCCCACAAGCTCTGAATTTTGCTCTTTAGCACTGTCCCAGTTTCATCACACTGTGCGAAGTCTGACTGTATAACTATGCCTTTATGGTAAAATGGATAACCCGTGTATCTATTGGCCCGTTGTACAGTATCTATTGGCCCTCATTGCAGACTCAAAATAGAATGTTTTTACAAGTGTAACTTTTGCAAGGAAACCTGCAGAGTTTTCCATTGTGTGCTTACTCACTCTTTCTAAGGGCAGCAGAGAAACATGTTTTTGGTTATAGGATGTGTTACTGACCACCCTGGACATGCTGAAGTTGGAGAAGATTGAATTTGGTGGAATTCGTGGGAAAGCTCTCAGCCAACAAGTTTTGAGCATTTATGAGGAATTCCAGGAAGTCTACAAAATATTCACAGAAAGGAATTATGACTGCCTGGACACAGATAATGTGGTGAGTGAAATGAAAATGTACCTTTATCAATTTATCAGTTTTTGAGGGTGACAGGTTCAGTGATGAAAAGTTTAAATAATTAAGTCAAAAGTAGTTATTTCCTGTAGTTCTAACATATCTCCCTATGCTTACCTGTACCTGTATAATGTTTCTTACTTTCCAATTTTTCTTATGTTTATTATTCAATTAAAACATGTTGATTGCATTAAGTGTAATTAAAATAGATGCACATCAGTTTATTGAAATTAGTTGCAGGAAACAAAAACATTTGTTGCAGACCATATTTCCTTTGGGGTGATTATGCAAAATAACGTTTCAGCAAATAACAGAAGATTAAGATCCCATCCACACTACATAACCAATCTTGAGAACTATACTCTAAAATATTATGTATAATTGAGCTCAACACACCCACACTGATTAACAGTTTTTTCATTAGTCATATTATTGCCTTCACACTTATTAAAATGTAGTTTGGTTACAATTCCCAGCAGTCCAATGGATAGTGAAATAATCCCTCGGTGCACTTAAGTTTCTAATGTCTGTAAATATATGGTGATGGAGTCAGAGACTCTCAGTCTATACAGAGTACCCCTAATGGTGTGCACGCCCACAGAAAATATAGAGTTTCTTGGGTGTTTTACCTTCAGATGAGCAAGGTTCTGTATCAGTAATTGAGAAGACAACTGAGGCACACTCAACAGACATATTACCTATGGTGTTTCTTTGCTCCAGATATTAAACACTGCTTTTATTTCAGTATCAGACTACATGATGCCCCTGTCCACCAGTTTTCAAATTGGCCTGTCATGTTTCCAATATTG